CCCCAAAACCCCAAAACCCCAAAACCCCATAGTATAAAAATTTAAGATATTAGGTTTATTTAAATGAAATAGAATTTCAATTCTAAATTTAATACTCCTTAATGCAAGCAAAGTCTCTAAACTTTTAATCACGATGTTTTATTAACTTAACCATTTAATTATGGCACATTAGTGTTTAGAGTATAAATGGAGAATAATAACCTTTTTCATTAGGGGTCAGCTTTTATTTGTGGAATATTGAGTAAAACTTTTTCTTTAAAAGCCTTTGTGAGTAAATCAACTGTATCTAAGTTTGTTGTTGCTCCTATATCAAGCATGTCAGGCCAAATGTTCATTTCTAAGACATGAATATTTTCCATGTCATCAATTAAATCGACTCCTGCGTGCAAAATTTGAATTTTTGCCGATTTTAAAGCAGCAAGAGCAACTTCGCAATATTTATCAAACTTTTGATGATTGATTAAGTTAGAGGTAGTAAAGTTCTCATGGAAATTGCTATTTGATCTGAAATCTCCAGCTTTGTCGATGTATGTGATACAAGCAATCGGTTTATTATTCACTATTAAAACTCTAATAGACTAACCTTCACAACCACTTATATATTTCTGTTAAATACTTAACTAACTATTCCAAAGTCTTTTTACCGAGACATCGACTCCTTGATCAGGATGATTCATAAGAATTACTCCGTCCCCTCCATAATCATTTAGAGACTTAATTATCGATTTTCCTGGTAAATTTGAATATGCATGCCTTATTGATTCTATATCAGCAGCAAAATACGTATCTGGTACATGAAGGCCAGCCTATGCAAACATCAAAGATTATAAGCATTTATCTGTTAAGATTCTGATAGCCTCAGAACCATAGAGACAATAAACACCCATTTGCTCCAATGATTTAACAAGGTAAAGGTACTTCTGCATATTTAAATTACTCATATAACCATAAGATAAAAAACCATCTAGCTTTTAAAGCTTTTCTTTAGCATTAAATATTTGAATTCCTTCCTTAGAAGCTTTAATTGATATCTCTTTTAGTTACAATTAGATTACTTTTAAACCATTATTTTGAAGCGCATTTATAAAATAGAAGTCAAGTTCATTGTAAAATATAGGATCAGGATTTAATAGATATCCTACTGTTATTGGAATGCTCCTTTTCATTAATGTTTAATTTTATTTAAATATTTTTTATTTTTACACTGAATATTAGTGAATTATCCTATAAATTTAAACATGGGGTTTTGGGGTTTTGGGGTTTTG